TGGCAAAGCCTCAGAAGCGCGGGAACCCGCCCGGTGCCCCTGGTCTGCTGGAGACGGTCTCCAGCAGACCAGGGGCACCAGAGCAGCTTACGAACGGGGCTTTCTCGCCCCGGAGCTCGCAGGTATCAATCTGCTACCTCGATCTCCGGGGCGAGAAAGCCCCATTCGTAAGTGCGGATCCGCCATAAGGCGGATCCGCGTAAGTCGGGGACTGCCTGTAAAGCAATTGACAGAAAAAACAATGAGTTTGCCTTTGATTTTTGTTTAGAATTTTACTTATGCACAAATAATGAATATTTAAAAGGACCTTGTTATGTACAATACAATACCACTTTGTCCATTTGTTTCTTAAACCTGTCAGAAATTAGGAGACTACAATATATCTTATCTGGAGGTTTATTCTGCTTCCAGTGTTCATGTGTAAGGCCAGTCAATGTTAACAACATATACACCTGCACCTTTAGTGGAGGTTGCACTCCTAAACTATTTTCTGTTTTTAATATATCTTCTTATTATTTTTAAATTATCCAGAGAGGCTGAGTAGTCACAGCTTCCATTGACTTAAATTTGTGCTTCAGGCAGTCAGCACTTCTGAAACTTTTTATTAGAAGGTAAAAATTATGGTTGGTAATACAAATGATTTATTTTATAAGCAGTAAAGAGATGATTTCAAAGGTATAGTTCGATTATTAAATAAACTATGCCAATGCCAATAGGCTTAAGAAAGATGATTAAAAGTAGGCCATGCATGTGTTTACCACAAATCCTGCCACAGGACACAGCACTAACCAAAACATCCCAGCTAGTATGATGCCATGCAGAAGAGAATACAAAATTATGGTGTTTGGAAATGTTGGTGGAGTCAAGAACACTGGCTAAGAGGCAACTCTTTTGTGGTAGTAATCTTCATTAAACTCTGTGGGTTCTAGTAAAGTGTACATTATTTCTTATTTATGATAATAATGTAATATCAAAGTGAAAGGACAGCTGATAGTCTTATCAGCACTATCTCGGTCCCATGCCAAAGATAGTGTCTGCATGGTGGCTGGTTTTATTTCCAAGGAAAGATTGATCTAGCAATTATAATTAATAAAATAGCAGTTGATTTTCATCTTTTTGTGGAATCAAAAAGGAAAATTCATCCGATGCAGGAATTATGTGCTTGTATGGACATCATACTGCATGACACTGGTAGAAGTGGGAAAATAGTTGGGATTTATAATATATATGGTTCCTGGTCTAAAAATATTATCTCCAAGGAGAGTATATAGAGGAGAGAGATTTTTCTCACAAGTTAGCTCAGTATCAAAAAATATCTTCTGAAGAGTGAAAAATGACTGCATGACTGTTCTAAAATATACAAATTTAGAAGGCCAGATATTGGTGGTGAAGAGCTACCAGTTTGATGTCACGTGGCACTATTCTTAGGAGAAAATAACCTGTTCTTAACACCCAAAAAACCAGCAAAGAAGAGTCCACATCAGTGAAAATCACAGCCACTAGCTTTAATGAATGTTTTTATTTTCTTGCACACTGAAGTGTTAGTTCTTGCACTGACAGCTCAGAATAAATCAATGCAAGGCCTTTGGGGAATGTTCCTGTTATTTACCTAATGGGAACACCTCAAAGTTGAAAATGAGTGTATTTAAAGCTGAGTCATTGGCAGCTATGTTGAATATTGATGACTCTTGAGCAAAAATAAATCA